GTTCCATTGGGTCTGTCATGGCTGCTAGCTCAGCGGCCAGCGCAGCTTTCTCATCCTTAGTCACATATGACTCCGCCTCCTCGTCTTCCCCCAACGATAAATTAGCGACCCACTCGCTGATCTTCTTCTCCAGCTCAGTATCTGTCTCCCACTGCATCGTGTCACCACTACTCCCTTCGCCACTCTCAATTCTCATTCTCTTTTTCTCTTCTTTTGCTACCGCTTCTGCTTCAGTAGCCTTCCTTCTCTCTTCCTGCCCCTGTTGTACCCTCTTCATCTCCTCCTCCAACCTCTTCATCTTCGTCGCCTGCTCATCTGCGATAGCCTTTAGCTTCGCCTGCTTCTCGCGTTTTTTTCTCTCCTTGTTCTCTTTCACTAAGGCGGCCATCTTTGCTTGCTCCTCAGGGGTGTAGGGACTAGTCTCCGTCCCACTACGAGTCTCAACCATGGTGATAAGTGTACAACCGGGTTAGTGGTTCCAAACCTCACCACGTAGACTCTGACCCCTGACTGACAAACCTATAGACTCGATCTCAGACTTACAGAATCCTAACAAGGACCCTGTCAACTATGGTCTCTAGCCTAGACCTATGCTATGGCTGTCACTACTGAACCAGTGGCTGATCAGGAGGCATTTAAGGAGATCCTCCGTAACTCCTCAAGAATTTTTTAACGTCGCAGACAGGACGACGTGATCAGGTTGGTTCTGCCTGTGCTTTCAACCCACAACTCAGCCTTTCCGGCCTACTGTGCCACACCGAGTAGCCCGCCGGTCTATACCGGTCCTTGGGAGGGTTCGTATCCCCCGGGACAGTCGAGTCGTCAGACACAGATCATCAGCCTTACTTGGTCTGGTAGGGAAGTGGTTCCAACAGGCCCTCAACACTTAAAGACGGCCTCCGTTTCAGCCTGCAGCTCAGAGTTTGGACCCTCTACACTGAAACTGAGCAGACCTGCCGGACAGTACCGGTCATTGGGCTAGACGAGTTGTTTAACAAGCGCTCGCCGCTCATGCCCAGGTCTCCAGATACCAGAGTAGAGATTAATCCTTCTAAGTCTCGTGCAGGTTTGGCAACAAGGCCCAATGTTCATCTACAGAGTTCTACGACCTAGGACAAAAGAGACTCAATGCAGAAAGAATAGACAGACAGACTGTACTCTGCAAGTACCAAGGGGTATGTGCACATCCATAGGGCGAGGGGCAGGCTAAGGGCTTGGCGAGATGTTACCAACTCCAGCTTGGTCAAAGTCTTGGTCAACGCCTTGGTCAATGACCTTGGTCAACGCCGGTCAACGTTGTTATGACCCTCGGTCAACTTTGGTCAACTCCGGTCAACGCCTCCGGTCAACCCTCTCGGTCAACTCCCCGGTCAGCTATGGCTGCCGGCACTTCTTCCTCGCCAATCCCCTTCTTCTTCCTT